GCACACAATGGACTCCGGACTAGGTGCATTATTTCTAAGTCTTCCTACCAATATGACCAAGTTGCGTAAGCAAGGTCAAACAACTACTACCGCAATTGTTCAAAAATCCTTGTGGAGGCTACATCCAGTGTTAAGCCTTTGCAGCATGTGTTAACATAGTGTTCTTTCGAAATTAGGAAGGATGTCTCGTAAGCTGTGTCAATCTGAGCGTTGTTTCAAAGCCAGACGACTGCAGTATCACGGAAATCAACCATCTTTTAGTGAATTTGAACCAGAAATCTATTCATCATGTACTTTAATGCGAAATGAAAGATTAATCCAAACCCAGTTACTCTTTGTATCCGTGATGATTTACAAAATTTCCTATTCAAGACAGATCAACTACATCGTAACGCGTAGCTGAGCGCATATTTTTAGTGACATCAAGATCAGTAAACCTTATAAAGCATAAATTGTTACGTGATCATGAATTGTGTCCCATTTCACTAGGAGCTGGGGTGGAATGATAACTGTTGTAACCAACGGATCAAAACAGGTTTTAAATGATCATATTGACGATTGTTTCGTAGCCGTTATCTTTTCTTTTTCCTTTTGGCCAACCGAAACTATCATTGGTACTTTTATAAAAGACTCGAAATACATTTTTACGAGTGAGTCGTGCCGATAAACAGGTGAACGCTATTGGAGAGTTGGTGTAGACTATTAAAGAAACATGTTGCTTTTTATGCATGCCTATTTACTCGTATGATATCATTATTTTTTTAATCAGGATATTCAGAAGTGATACTTATATTTGAAATTTGATTTTGGCATTCTTATCTGGAATGTAATAGGGTCATGCAATTTATGTCGTAGGATGTGTACAGTTCGATATGTTTTCATGCTGTTACTTCAGTATCTCATCTTGATTTGTTTACATTACAACAGCTCCACTTTTATTATTATATTGGTTATCAGCCTTAGATCACTTCAGGAGAATCGCTCGAGATGATATGAATTTCATGAATTTTGCTCTACCTTGTTTCCCAGGAAGACTTTTCTATTCAATGTCTAGTTTACTTCTAGGCCTTAGGATTCGGGTTATATCCAAACTGTCTATCTGCTAAACCTCCTAATCTTTTCACTTTTTGAAATATGTGGTTATTTAGGTCTTGCTGGTTGACAGTCTCGGCAGCTTAACTCATTGGGCTGTTTTTCAGCTCAAGTTGCCTTCAAGGGCGATTTATGTTGGGGGGATCGTGCTCGCTTAGTCAGATTTTTGAGGAAGTTGAATAACACAAGTCCTCTTTTAGCCAGTTGTTACATTGTCATCCTTACGAGCTGCGCAGGTCATACAATGATTTGGTTTTTAACTGATCATTTTATATTTTTTGTTACTTCAAAATTAAAGAGTATCACTAGATATCTGTTAAAACATATTTATTTATATTTAATTGTTCTAAAAACAATAAATAATTCTCCTATCTAGGTTAGATCACTACTTTAGATTTGAGAATCTTTGAATTCTAGGGGATTCCAGATTCTGTCTGCCATTTTTTATGTTGTAGTCATTCTTTCCCTCCACGTTATCTGTATATTCATATGCTATTGCTTACATATATCAATAAGAACTTAGCTATCCTAGGTTGCTTAAGGTGATTTAAGGACTGATATTTAGGTCTATTGATGAAATTGCACTTCGCCTAGACTTGTCTCAAAGGGGCTACCTCGTACAGAATCGACTGCAGTTTTGACTTAATCTAGATCCCATGAGCACCCCAAGTAGGATTCAATACCGGATCGTGAACATCGTGGCGACGCTACTATCTCACTACATGGCCATGAGCTTAAGTGAGGAAAACTCAACTTTCAGTTATTAAATAACTTTAATCGGCCTAAGATGACTACGTTCTTGTTCAAGAAGTACTGTCATAATCAAAGACTACTTAAAGCATTGAACTCGCTCGGCTATCGTCATAAAATTGGATCTTATATCTTTTCAAAGATCTTATCAACCTTTGCCAATGAATGAATGCAAAAGAACACATTTTTAAAGATACGTTTTCTTTCATACTAAGCATAAAGAGTAGAATGGGGTTAGAACGGTATTTAATTTTCGCACCTAATATTTGTTGGTGTTTGGCTAATTTAGAATCATTCTGAATGATATTATTTTCATTATATTCTAGTATCGAAGCTAATTCTATTCGTGGTTTTCTCTTTCCCTCATTTTTCCGGCCAGACGCTCCACTTAGTTTACCGCTGTCTTGAAGGTGAATCCTTGCCTGCTAGCCTCCCACAAGAAATTCTTTCGGTTGCTTTGGCGCAACCTGCCATTACGGGGCCTGGCCACACGCAATCAAATCAGCAGCAGCAGTCCTCGCTTCTCGCACTGATGCCGCCCAGCCCTATTGCAACCTCCAACGCCTCTGGTGCAGTTACTACAACCAGTCTGGCGTCAGCCGGTGGTGATGCTCTTGCTCTTGTCCCTGTTAACCAAGCGTCTACCGTCTCCGCTGCGCAGGTATCGTCTTGACAGGCTAGAACGCAGTTTTCTTAATTATTTCAGCCCACTCGGCCAATGATT